GTGGCCGCATTCTCGCGGACTTTCCGCGAGAATATGCAAAAATTTCGAGGGCCGCACGGTCCTTTGTGGAGGACCGCGCAACCCCCAGGTACTTTCCGCTGAGAGAAAGTACCTCAAACTTGAGTAATTAAACCAGCGTGACACCTCTGGCACACAGAGTCTTACCTGTGCCCGACGTACGCCCGAAAATGCCTAAAAAGAGTCCGAGCGCATGCTGAAAGTTTGGCCAGCGCTCGCTAAAAGGAACTATTTGCCGAGCGCTTGCAAAAAATGCTGTATTGCTGCCTGCTGGCAGAATATGCGACCGTAAAGGAAGTGCTGCCCGCTAAAGGTTTGGCCACGCCCCAAAATTCTGCTGACCGCCTGCAGAAAAGATGTGAAAGATGTTCAAACCTGCAAATTAAATAAATTTACAAATTTTAGCCATTATCCCATGCAACGCAGATTAATTTTATAGAGTTTGGAACGGCGTAAAACTTAGCCGATCTGGAACAAGAGGATTTAGAAATGGATGACTACGAAGAGATACCAGGGGCGGTAGTAATCTACGCTACCTGGTGGCATCAAAGATGCCGGCAAGTTGGCACACATCGCGGAAAGATGCCAACTCCGCCGGCAGCTCGCGGAGTGATTGTAGGTTTTGATAATTTTATGTAACCTTAGCACGCAATCATTTCGCACATTAAATTTTGATGACGCAGACAGCCGCAAAATTGCTACCTCGCGCGCGGTCGAACCTATGTGCGTTAAGAAGTGCCACCACGTTAATCATTCAACCATTCGGTCAGCCATTGCCGTTTGCACCAGCAATAGGAAGAACGCGCTGGTAAATGGCTGCCTGTAAGAGGGATCGATACATTGCGTGAGAGACATTGACCTGAAAGAACAGCTGATTGATATGAGCGAGAGAGGGCGAAATCGGTGCAAACGAGATTTATAAGGGATTGCCAAAAAAGATGGTGTTCTTTATGATTCTAAGGCATTGCTGGATTTTTTCTCTGTAAGAAAATCGTCGTTTTAAAGAAGAAAAACTCATTTAATGAGAAAAATGGTAGTTTTTTTGATGAAAAGTAGAATTTTTGATTTTTTCGCCTGACGTGAATTGTGTGATATCGCCGCAATTCGTAAAATCGCAGACGCCGTCGGCAAAGGTGCCACCACCTCGACGTGGTAGGGGAAAGTCGAGATGCCGGCAGCTCCCTCTCTCAAAAGAGCACGCTATTTCCCGTGCTCTCTGACCTGCCGGCAGCTGCCATCTCGCGGATTTCGACGAGCTGCCGGCAGGTTGCCGGCAACTTACATCGCGAAGTTGCCGGCAGCTCCTTCTTCGCTTCCAGATATTTTCCTACAGGAGGATTTTTCTAGAACCGCAGATTTCTATGAAGGTTTCTACAGAGTCTAAGCGGCATCTTTATCGAGAAAGTTTTTTGGAAATAGACCCGGGACCGCCTAAATTTGGGGTTTCACTTTTTGGCCACCTCACGGAAAAGGTGCCAGCGATCTGCCGGCGAGACCTGCCGCCAGGTCGGGGGGAATACTACCGGCCCAGTGACAGAGCTGTGACCATAGAGGGAAGAGAAGAAGAGGATGGTGATAACGATGAAGAAGATATTATGCAAAACAAGAAAATGTAGAGAATAGCGGGAACGACAGCGCTGGGCCTTTTTCTCGTTCTACGTTTCTATACATTTTGTTACAAACACAAACACACAAGCACACGCACATATACAAATACCTTCATTGCAATATGCGATAAAACGACAACCAGTGAACTTTTCAGAAATTCTATCTTGACTACACGTCAAGTCCGCACATCATCCAGAAATGGAGTAGTAAAAAGTATTGGCATCGTTCATTTTGCTGTAACATGAAACTCAAAAAAATTATTAGAAATTCGCGAATTAATGACACTTATAGGGCCTCAATGGAACATAGTTCTAAGTTGTTTCATGCTGTTAATATCCCTACGCGCCACCCTTATTCCAAATTTTTTTAAAAATCTTTGCAGCATCCACCAAAATGGAAAGAATGAATTAGCCGCAAGCAAACTTCGGACTAGCTCAGTCTGCCTAAAAAATTTCTAAACTATGAATTTACGAGTATACATTAGACTACAAGTTTCACATTTATAGCTCACACCCGAAATTATCAAATTTATGAAAAACTTAGCAAAAATATTTCTCTCATTGAGAAACCTATTTGACATTAACTTTGAAAGATTCCAAACCTCATTTAAGTTTCTACACATCCTTATTTGCATCCGTTTATCGCCTCATTCTCTTGACCCTTACGATTTTTTCAAAAATTGGAGCTTTTTTCCAAGTTTCGCAATGTTCGAGGTCTCTCAAAAACTCGGAAAGCTCAGTTTATATTTTGTCATTATTCAAAAATCCAAGCAAAGTGCTAACACACCTTAAAAAGTTTTTTCATATCCTCTAGAGATTCATCTTCTTTTCTAAGCTTTCGTAAACGTTCATCATGATTCTTCTATAGAATTTTATTAGATGCTACCCATTTCCATGCTTAGTCCACTATCTTTGTAACATGAAAAGACGAGCAGATCGGTCGCCGTTTCATGCAGTTATTTCTCCTCTTTCTAATGGGTGTTTTCTGTTCCCAACTCGCGAAATCTTTAGAATTAAACCATTGTAACTCTTGGTTTTGAACGCGCCACTACTCAAAAATTCGAATTATTTCGGATCCGTAAACTCAAATTTGTTCCACGAAATCAGTGTTGAATCATAACACTATCTTAGTGGTATAAAATTCCGCTTTTCTGATTTTTAATGCGTTTGTATCTGACATGGGTTTGCTAAGAGCCTGTGTTTTGAGTAAGAAAAATTCTAAACAAAAATATGGCAAGCTACGGGAAGGAGACTAAAGTTGTACTGTAACCGAAGGAAGGCTGGTGTCTAGTGGTATATTGAGGTTTTAACCTCCATAACTGGGCACATGAACAGATTGAAAAGAAGAAATCTTATCCGTATGGCAAAACGAAGACCAACGGCCTCAAGGCCAACAACGAACAAAACAACGAGAAAAAACACGAAATCGGGGGAAATATCCCGATTTGACCCTCCAACAGGCCTTCGCACGGTTATGTCTGGATCAATTCTCGGTGAGTTTTCACGTGGAGAGGTCTGGTTCTCTCCTAACCACTTTCGATTCCCACGAGCCTCTTCTTCTCGATGCTCCCCGTTTTCTTCCCCTTTTATACCTTCCACTTTTTCTTCCATTTTTTTTTCAAGAGGGGCAAACTGCCTCTTCCTCCCGCCAGCTCTGTATTGATGATCTCCAGTCGCATCTTCAGACATCCCTCCCCTCCGAGGAGCCGTCGGCCTCGGCGCGGTGGGAGTTCTCCCAATTTTGCGCTGGATGATCGCATCCTGTTGGCTTCATATAGGTGTCTGATATTCATTACTCCGCAGTAAGTGTCGTAAAACTGAAATAAATTTTCAAGCGCTCTTGCCTCTATCCATACTCTATTATTTTCAACAGGGTAAACGCTAAAAGGTATAACTGGTCAAGCTGGCGAATTCTTCTGAAGTGGCGCCGATTATAGTCCACAGTTCTGCCATGACCTTCCATATGTGTACCTCGCGACATTCTATTCGTGGCCAGGCTGGTATCAGTTCTCCTTCTTCTTCGATTCTTTCAAGATGTTTTTTTGCAGGCCAACATGATATTCGTGTTTGCTTCTTTTTATTTCCGCGTAACCATCGGTCACACGATGACCCACATTTGACAGTGTTTCAGTCCTTGTAAGGCATTCTTGAGTTGGCCTGCATGACTTTTAGTAATCACTCCTCCTCACCGGCTTAGCCCCCATGTAACTGAGAGCTAGCGTCTAGATATCTACAGTCGCTTCCAACAGTACTGTTTGCTGTAGGGTTTGCTCGAACTCCTCTGGAGAGTTGGCATAAAGATTCAGAACAATGGCAAAGCTTCTCGAAAAAGCATGCCTCGCAGAGGTTGACTTTTAGGAGCCCGTTGATTGTGCCGTAGTGAAATTGTAAGTATTTGAAAAAGGTGAAACGATGCATTGAATAATACAAGATCTTCCAAAAATCTTTGTTACGCGGACTTTGGCGCTCGTCTAAAAAATGCGAAACTTCTTTCGGGTGGACCTAGTATTTTCACGCCACTTTTTAGATGGCCGTGAGGCGCTCGAACTGTGTTAAAATGTCACTACTTTTTAGATGACATTAGCGGTTTTTTAACGCTGAAATCCTCCTTGACAGACAAATGGCAGCCAATCCTGAGGGAAAATTTAAAACGATCTGTGGCTCGACTGATTGATTGAGTTTGAGCCATCTTACTATACCCAGCCGCACCTCCTCGTTACGTTGAGGCAGCAGACCTGAAGGGCAATGAAGATATGTAGATTAGTTGGGTGTTACTGCTTACAGTAAGTCTACACTGCGGAAAAATACCAAATGCAGATGATGCCGATTAAAGCAAGGATCTACTTCCTTCATACTGCTTCAATGCTTCTATCTCAGAAGTCAAGAATTAACAACTGATCAACCTGTTTTTTTAGGAAACTCCATTCTGTCTCTTGGGTAATATGACGTCGATTGCTGCTACGAGTGTCGTTTTGATTTTTGAGATAACAAGCTTCTATGGTCATAATGGAACAACAAATGGGAAGAAAATGACGCGCTGTTTCCCTCAATTTTCCAAAGAAGCTAGAGAGAACTCTTCACGGTAACATGACCACGACAGGACGTGCCAATTTAAAGACACTCATAAATTAAAAGTGGAAACGTTGTTTACTCAAATAAGAGATACAAAGAATACGAAAACTTTTACGGCTGGAATAATCTTTTTTTGAGCAATTTTAGTTCAATGTGTTCTCCGCTAAATTGCGTAAGGGGGATTTTTCGTTCGATCTTCTATGAAACATAGCTGCCGACAAATGACCGACTTTGTTGCAGAGTGAAGGTACTTAGAGAATACCACACATTCTTAGCAAAGTATTCTACGTTGAATTTCCCTGCAAACACGCTGCACAATGCTTTATTTCATCTTATCACAAGAAGAAACAGGCAATGAGGAAGAGTGCTCGTTTCATACAGAACGCCCTTTCTTGAGACCACGGCACCCCACGTGACACCTTTTTCGGCATATCAGTTTGTCAGCTTTGCACTTCTCCATACATACCATGCTGAAAACACACATTTTTGCTGCGCGTTAAAACAACGTAATGTCAGCCTTACAAGCGTCGCATTTCTGCTGGCGAGCAGGTTGTAGCATTTGTTAGCCCTAAGAAACAAGCTCCCAGGAAGAAGAAGAAAAACAGCAGGTTCATAGTTGTTTTCAGCGATATGAGTATGCCCTGAAAAATTCTGAGAATTTTTGGGTTTGCTTGTAACATGGGAGAAAAGCGACAACACAGCGTTTATGACTTATTGAGTCTCTTTTGCAAGACATGGATATATTGAAAAAGATGGATTGAAGCGAACTTGCGATTAGAAGGTTAGAAAAGTTTGATGAAAGCTACACTGCGTCTGTAAAGAATGAGTTGATGTAGTGTGTTATGCTCGTAATTCAAATAATCCACTGAAGTGGTAGGATTCGTAATAATGAACTGTGTCTTTTCTCTTTTGTGCAGATTGTCCTCTCTTCGATGTTAAAGAACATAATGCCTAGACAAGAGCAAAAGCTTTCATCTAAGCAAGCATGAAAAATACTCGCAAAATAAAACTAAGTTTTCGAAAAATTCATTTAGACTATCATACTTCGGTCATCAATGGCCATCAGGAAGGTACAAGTACCGTGATTGAAGGTGGCACTTCTAAGCGGAGTACTGGCGTTAGTTATAAACAAAAAAGTTCTTCAACTCTTGGGAAATTTTCCTCAAAGTGCCTCATCTTTTGCGAGAAAAGTTGGTGCAAGTTTGACTGCTAGTAATATTTGCGCATATAGCAGAACTTGAGTGCAATTGCAATTTTGCAGTCGTCGAACTCCCCATTTGGTCACTCTAAACTGAAACGATCCTTTTTGTTTCATGAATATGGGCAGTAGAATTTTCATCGTTAGAGAGACTTTTTGATGCAATTAGACAGGTTTTGATACCATTGTAATCAAAAGTGAAATCTGAAAGAGTTTCTTTGCTCTCTATAACCTCAGAAAAAGTGCTGGAAATCAAAACAAAACAAGCGGCCTTGTACTTTCAAACAGCTTTATATTCAGGTGAGCTTTTCTCGCATCGCAATGAAAAGCGCAAACTTTGGACTTTCCGTAAAGATTTTTTTCATACGCGCAAAGTTTTATTTCGTGAAGAGCGCTAAATGCGATTTGCATCTTGTAAGAAAAAGCATCAAAAAATCTTTCATAGCTTGAGTCTCTCATGCTTAGGATCAAAGACAGTTGTAACCTTATTGAATAACTGAAAGTTTAGAATTAGTTCTAGAATTGCTATTGCAAAAGCTACTCTCTATTAGAACCAAGGGAACATAAGGAAGAGAATTTATTAGGTGACTGTCGGATTCAGCTACAGGTGGTATATATATACTGCTTTTGTGACTTCTATGATTTCTGTGGCAATGGCTTTTGTGACGTACTCAGAAAAAAAGTTTGGATTATAATAGATTTTGTATGCTTCGAAGCTAAAGAAAACTCGTTAAGCTACTCAAAAGTGACACCAAACCATTGCATCATTATTCTTCTCATTTTCTTTGGCCAATTCGAAGCTTAAGATTGATAAATCCGTTTGTTTTCTCTGCACCGTGCACAGAAAAGTTCTCTATTTTGCTCTACTCCAAATTTTTTGTTACAGATGCTGCTAAATCTCCTTTATATACCGAAGTGTGCCTACGTTCTCCAACCAACTCTTGACTATTAGTAAAAATGCTTTTATCGAAGAGAGACCTACCTTTCAAAATAAGATGATTAGCAAGAGCAATCGGGAAACGCCTATTTGCGAACTGACTCATTTACATGGCAGGCTGTTTAGTGCTGTTAAATCCTTAGCCTTTTTGTGTTCGTTGGGAATTTGTTACAGCAAGTGACGTACAATTCTCATATCTGTCTACAGTCTTTAATCTATTCGTGCTAATGGGAGCGAGGATTTGAGCTGCAATGAAAAATTTGAAACACGTTTTGGTTTTCATAGCTGCAAATTCCTAGAGGCATCAAAGAAATCACAATTACCATCATTCTTTCCAACTCACTGTGCCATCATTTTATATCACAAATTTATATTAATAGAACAATCAATTTATTTAACTAACCAACCAAAGCAATGTGGAATGTAATAGCAAATTTAGAGAATAGGCGTATTAGTGAAAATCACTTTGAAGTATGAGATTTGTAGAAATGCACAGTAAGAAGAGAGTTTCTGATCTTAGGAGACCACTGAAGCATTGAATATACACAAAGCTATAATATGAAAGTTGTCATTATATCAAAATTTTCACTTTGCGCAAAACCTTGTGGAGCGCTTTGATGTGGCAGGCGTTGCCAAGCACAAGCAATACAATATAATCTCTAAACTTTTTGAGATATACTTAGGCGGCGTTCATACTGATTTTATGTTCCGGAACAGTTCCAGCACAGCGCTCGAACTGTGCGAGGTGCTGAAACAGCTCCGGAATTTACGGGTCAGTATGAATCCAGCCTTATGAAACTATAATGCACCGAGTTAGCAAGGGTTGTGGAATTATCCGATTTCGCTGCAAACACAAAACATACGAGTACATACAAACATAAACTTACGGAAAAAACATAGGCAAAGCATGCAAACATATCTATTTGAGATGTGAAACGATGATTGCAATAAAGGTAATTTGACATTATTTGATTTCTGGCTCTCACTCTGTTTATCTCTGAGAATTTCCTAGTTGGTTTGGTCTGCAATTGTTGAAAATACACGATGAAACTAATTTGAACTGAAAGACATTTTCAGTAATCAGATTTCGTGCTGTTAGGAAAGCTTGCCTGAACGATAATGAGAGAAAGGACTCTAGCATCGTCACGAGAGCTGTCCGCATGCTACGCCTCGAGCCTTCCAGATACTTTGGTTGTGAGCTGGTCTTACAGCTACTGGAGACTATGACAATAACTTTGCTTGAATTTATGACTTGAAGTTCATTTGACAAGTCAAATACTTAGATGGTTCTTCTGAAAACGAATTTCTTGATTTGTTAAAATAATTAAGTAGTCAACTTTTTATGAAACTACTTTTTTTAAATAACGTATTCATGTGAGAATACGAAAGCATCTTTGCCAATGTAAGAATTACCGTAATTAAAATATAGTAATGCCCCAAATTCTGCCTCACTGTGCAAAAAAAAGTCTCCTTCGTATGGTGAATGAATTGCTTTGACACAGACGCATATAATATCCATGTTAAGCATCTCAAGCTGAACAGTGTGCAAATGGTAGAAATTGAGGTTTCGCTCCGTTTATAGATTTCCTTTAAGATTTGAACAATCATATCCTGAGAACCCCAGACCACATTTCTCCTTGAATTCGTTCCCTATTACAATAAGTAAATCAATCTCTAGCAATGCTGTTCCTTGTCACTGTGTCTGGTACGGGTTGTGCCGGCATTATTTTCACTCTGAATCCCTCAAAACCTTGAATTTTACTAGTTTTCACAAATGCTATGACTATTGTACTTTTGCTGTCAAAAAGTATGGAGAACATAAAACTGAAAAATGTCGTAAGCAGAAATTAGTTAACTATCGGGCGGTATCGACATATTAGGTTGGCACATAAGTAATGCAACTTTTTATATAACTTTTGTCTATTTGAACGTAGCGCATTCATTTTTTGGCAATATAGGGATTATGATGTAAGCTTCTAATGCACACATTTTTGCCGAATTTTACCATCTTATGTGAGGATTACTGTAGGTTTACGGTACTATGGGAAAAATTTTAGAATGCACCAGATTTTGCTGAAACTTGGCCTATAGGGCTTATTTGACATGCTGATCACAAAAATGAGATCCGTTTCGCATGAAAAGGCCTCGTTCGTGAGATCAGAAGATGAATTTTATTTTAGCGACAAGTGAATATGATATTCGTGTTTACCGCATAGGATTGCTCTATAGTGCAAAGTTATAGCGAATTCTGACTTTTCGCAGCTTAGTTATTGACAAATTGCCTTCAAAATTTGACGCATTTTACTTGTTCAACTTCTCAAAGGCGCCCCACCTTAATTTGTGTTTAAATTTCATTTCTTTTTCACTGATTCCAATGTGCCATCTTCCAGCTACATGCTGCTTATAATTGCTTTTTCATATGTTTGAATCCGGTTTCGTAGGGTTTCATGTTTGTCAAAAAATCGTGAAACCTCGATTTTCAGCAGTTTTCAAAAAATGCTCAGATTTTTTATACGTTATCAAAAATCAAAAGGTTTGCGCAGACTTGCAGCTTACATCACGATCTCTTTATGATGCCACAAAATGAGATTGCTACATAAAATAGGAAAAACGTTACGGGAAAAGTTGCAAAACTTATGTGCCAACCTAATACATAGGTAATTTGGCTTTGTACGTTATACAAATAAGTTTGAACAATTGATTTGAGGCCACTCGACTCAAAGTGAGTAACATAATTTTACAGTATATTAAGGCATTTCTAAGCAAAATGATGGCATCAAGTGTTGTTGCTAAGTGTTAAGTGCTGCTCAATAAACGCAAGCCAAATATGGGCAATTTTTGGTAGTTAGAAAAAGGACTTTTTATGCTGTCTAATGCAGATGGTCGTTAGAAAGGGTTTAAAGGAAAAATTGCTGATATGTACAGGGTGTCCAAAATTACCGGCACGCGTTTCTTTGAATGCTAGGACGATTTGAGGAGGACCTCATAATGCACTAGCGAAATTAGAATTTTCTGGTTTTTTTCGAAAAAAATCTCAAATTCTTTTGACAGCCGAAGTGTGCTCTGCGCGCAGACACAACCAAGAAATTACACGATTTTTTTGCCATCGTCAGAGGCTCAAAAGTTGAGTCACGACAATATCTGCTCTCAAGCTCCAAACATCTCCTCCAGTGGCACACTCGATTCATCTGGTGTGGATGAAAGAGGTCCGGCCACCAGTGTATTACCGATATTGCAGTGCGCAACACTTTAGACGAGCTCGTGTGTCTCTCCTCGCTGGGCAGATTGCCAAATTGAGAGGATGTAATGCCGCGCAACTGTCGCCATATGCGTCTTTCATTTCCAACCTCACTTTCAGCTATTTTCTGATTTTTCACGTTCTTTCATTGATTGTGCTTGGTAAAGTCTCGTTGTTTAGCGGTCGAGCAAAGTGATTGTTATAGCTTTTGGATAGTGTCGCGCTGACGCGCGGGGAAAGTATGTAACTTTTGTGCAAGTTTACTACCGTGAGCGGAGA